GATCGTTTACATTACAGACCCGTCTTTGAATATGGCCACGAATCTTCAGATATATAGTAGGAGCAACAGACTAGATATGGCAGCAATACTCAATGCACAGACAAATTGGAAATTTAATTTTTCTATCTTCATATTCCAAAAATAACGTGGATAACTTTTTTTTACATTTATGGAACACTCCCCAGATTCTTACCTCCAGTAAAATTTAATCTTCAAAACTTTAAATTCAGTGCCAACCGTTATCATGTGTCTTCTTAATTCCTGTTCTTTTATTTTTCTCTCTCCTTAATAATATTTTTCTCATATGCTTTAAAAGCCAGTAAAAGCGTCTTAGTGGTTGTATTGCCATGGTTGGAGTAAACTTATTTATTTTGTTTTTGTATTGTTCTTTTTTTTTTCGCTATTAAGTAAACTCTTTGCTTCTCATTAGAAACAAGAGCTTACGCATTTTTTAAAAGCGGGCCTGTAAAAACGATGCAATTTATATCCAGAAGTTGTTTGACATCAAATGCCAAATGCACATCCATGGAAAAGGTCATTTGTAGTTGTTGAACAGAACTCGGTCGAACAACCACGGGAAATTAGCCAACTTTTCGCTGAATACGACAGCTTCCGACCTTTCAATATTCTGTTGCCTTGAACGAAATTATAAAAAAATAAAAAATAAAGCAGCGGAAAAATATACCAGCAAAACTGACAACTTTAACAAATAAACAAGAGAATAAAAGTAGACATCTTTTTAATGAAATCGAAAGCAAGAGTTGAGACGACGTAACACTACAGCATACTGCTATACACAAAAGAGCTTAGATGTTTTAGGGCTTTCAAATGTTCCTTTCAGCAGAAAGCATATCGAAGTTAACTAAATACGTTTTAAAATTAAAAGATGTTGTTAATAAAGTTGTCTGGTACAGTAAATATCAAATTGGAACTTTCTACGGTCAAAGGTCAAAATTAGGAAACATCCAGTGAGAGACTTCTCAGAATTCATGTTCCACGTGCTAAAATTTCGTCCTTTGGCCATGTAGCCAACGACATTGAACTATCATTGACTAAACTTTCTACTCGTAGTAACAAGTGTATGTAATCAAACACATTCATTTGATCGCTCTGATCATAATATTTGCTGATATAAATTCATAGTATTTGTCTTTTTCAGTCATGATTCAATTAGTTTTTCGGAAATATTTATAGAGGGCGCTCAGTAAAAGAAAAAGCGTTAAATTCAGCAATTCAACAGATGATTCATGCACAAACTGAATAAACATCGTAAATGTTAGAAACGTTTGCCGGAATGTTCAGCACAAAGTTGTAAGAGTGGTAACTGAGAGGCAGCAGCCTTACGGATAGTGTCAAGAGGAATTTCATTCCAAGCTTCAATTAAGTTCCACTTCAATGAATCAAGATGTCACGACGACGGTTTTTCAAGTGAGTTAGGAGTGTACTCCAGATACAGGCACCCATAACATTCAGTTATGGGCTCTTAAAGGGAGATGGACCAATTAAAGTTGATATATTTTCGGGAAGAATAAATTTGCCGCTTTTTTACTGGACAACCTGTAGATAAAGAATTCTTTTGGAATTCTGCTCAAGACAAAATACTTTCGTCAGTGTATTTTCTTTAGAATTAGTTGTTGAATGTTTTATGAGATAGATCCATTTCTTTTGGATGTTCATAATTAATCCAGGGAATACAATTTTCAAAAATGTGTCCCTGTGTTGAACAATACAATTCGTCGTTTTTTGGGGTTTTTTTTTTGTTTTTTTTCATGGAAACTATTTTCTTGGAGAATATTTAGAAACTAAAACATGTTAACAACTTACTCCCTTATATTAAAATTAGCAATAAATAAAAATCTGAGTACATCTAAACAATGTTTCTTATATGTTCAACTTATTGTATAAAGCATGAGGTTGTCAAAGTCCACATAGAACTAATAAGCAATATAAAGCTTTTCTTTTAAAAGGTACACTTTATTCTTCGAAAATGTATTTTAAAAAAGGCGAGATCTGACAAAAGTTACTGTTATGGAGTATCTGAAGTACAGAGACATCACAATTATATACGCGTTCCTTGAACATGAATCTGTTCCATTTATCTATCTTGAACGTATATTTGAACTCAGTCCAAACCTCAAATGGAACTTGTTAAAGATGCTGGGAAAATAGTCGACTATTTTCCCAGCTCCAGAAAGTCCCTGATTCCTCCGACCACGCTCCATCGTTACAATATTCATTGATCGATTCATTTCCTACGTTTCCTCAAAATCTTTGTAGGTTATTTGAAGTCTGTTATATTCCGTGCTAATAGGAATATATACTTGAAAAATAAGGTGGATAGAATAAGTAAAGGTTTATTGTAAAAACCAGTAAAATAAAAATAAATGTAACAGTTATGTCCAAGGTCGTCGCAAGTCAATCCAGAAGTAAGTGCTACCATTTTGAAGTTTGGTAGTTCTCAAGTAAGTCTGAGTCGTACTCAACAGATACCAGCTAGTTAATATATTAGTACCCCCCCACCACCACGAGGATAGATGTGGCACAAGGCCGAGTTTAACGTGTGACATCAGAGACTGTAGGCTGGGCCAAAAATTCCCCGTAGAACCCGCATAAACGGGTTCGTTCCTGTCTACCTCCCCAGAGGAGACTATCCTTCGACATAGCTGTTGTCGAACTCTCTTCCTTCGAGCAGAGAGGAAGCCGGTCAAGGCTAATTGCTGAGTAACAAATCCCAGCTAGTCGATATTTACCAGCCTCCCCACAAGGTAAGATGTGGCACAAGGTCAAGTTTAATGGGGGTAATCCGAGCCCGTAAGTTCAGCCCCAAATTTCTCGTAGACCGCGGGGTCGGGTAGCTGTTTCCCGAGACGAAACTCTGCCCTTCGACATAGCCTCGTCTGGGGATCCTCTCTGCCCGGAGGCATAGACTTTGACCAGCACAGCTGTAAAAGATTCCAGCTAGTCAATATTTACTACCCACCACGACGGTAGATGTGGCACAAGGCCGAACTTAACGTGGATCTTACGAGCCCGTAGCTCGGCCAAAAAATCCCCGTAGAACCCGAATAAACGAGATCTGGTCAGTCTAGCTCCCCGAACGAGATTCTGCCCTTCGGCAGAGCCTCGTCCGGGTTCCTCTCTGCCCGAAGGCATAGGGTTCGACTGTATAGCTGAAAAGATTTCGGCTATTCTATTTAACCGCCACCCCCATGAGGGTTTTATGTGGCACAAGGCCGAGTTTGACGTGGGTTATCCGATCCCATCGGCTTGGCCAAGAAATGCCCGTAGAACCCGCATAAACAAGATCGGGTTGGTCTACCTCCCCGAACAAGGCTCTGACCTTCGGCATAGCCTCGTCCGGGTTCCTCTCTGCTCAGAGGCAGAGAGTTTGACCTGCCAGCTATTCTCCGTAGTCCGTTGACCTACAGATACTTATAGGAAGTTACTACCTATTGTAGTCACTAATGGGGGTGACAGTTTATTCCATTACATCAATGCCAGAAAATATTTTTTTAGATTGTAAGTATTTTGGGGTTCTTTTTTAGATAATAAATTTTTTAGTGATACAATTCTCACTTATTAGTCAATAGCCGGGGTGGGGAGAAGAGACGTATTCGCAAGGGTGTTTGCACCGGAAGTGACTATAACGAACCAAACTGGAAATGGAACTCTTGTTGTACGTGTCTTTGGGTGGTGGGGAGTTAGCACCATACTAAATGTATCATATCGTCTCGTCATATACATTTCTTGGTTCCGCCATGTCTTACCTTCACGGTTAGGACCCGCCATACCATTTATATAGTAGACAAGTTCGATATTACCTCCGTATTCCATCGACGAGAACTAAGTACCACTCAGACAGATTCTTCTCGCGAACCACTGCCCTGTGAAAACAGACTTCCAAGAGGTAGTTTCCCCGATCACTAAAATCTTAACATGTTCAAGTCTAGAGTTAAGTGTTATCTTCCCCTCGTATCAATGTAAACTACCCCTTAAAGAGCCATCTACCAAAAGTAGCACTTGGGTCTTGTTCAGAGTGAACCTTACTATAAAAAAATGTAAACGAACACAAAGCAGAGAAAGAAGTGATCATGTTAAGCGTGGTCCGAAAGTTTTGTCACCCACTACCTCTTTCCAAACTGTAGGAGCTCGTGTAAGCGATATGAAATAGAAAATCATGTTATGCGTCGGTGACAAGACTTTCGGACCACACTGTAGTTTGAATTATTGAGGCGGAATTATCGAAGCAACTTATATCAAAATAAAGGCTAAGGGTCCAATTTGACGTTTATATGACTTATATATTCTTAGGTTAAACAAACAAGTTCTGAAAACTTCTTAATATTGACGAAAGACGATATGATACATTTAGTATGGTGCTAAATCACCACCACCCAAAAACACGTACAACAATCTTGTGTCGGTAAGTGTAATATTCTCAACGGACTTTTTTTTCTTTTTTTTTTTAGTTCTATTTATTTTGGAGAAAAAGTACCTAACATCAAACATCGAAAACAGATTTTCAAGTAAAATCTCTAGAAAGTATTCGGATGTCATAGATCCAAGTATTTTGAAATCGAGGAAAAATGCTCTTCAAGCAGTTCTTCCGTTTACGACTTTAGATCTTTGTAAAGCAGAATTTTCATCCCTCGTTTATACAGAAACGCAACATGACATCCGGATGGCTTTCAGCACAAAAAAAGCCACGCACTTCAATGTTAATGGAGATTAGAAACAACATAACTTACACTAAATGGTTACCTTAGTAACATCCTGATGCAGACATTAAATTTTAACCTATGATATATTTTAACATTTTCTTTACAATCTTAATAGAAAATTCGCATTTTTTTTCTTTTTTGAATTCTAATAATTTCTCCATAAATTCAAGACGCGCGAGAAAGTTTTTAAAATTTGGAGGGGTGTAAACATTAATAAAGGTTAAAGAACTGCAGCCTCACCCTCGCAAGGTCCGCCTAGATATGGTAGACTTTCTACGTTCAGAGGGCTACAGATGCGGTTCTACGTACGAAGGCTGCAGATGCGGTTCTACGTACGAAGGCTGCAGATGCAGTTCTCCGTAAGAAGGCTGCAGATGCAGTTCTCCGTAAGAAGGCTGCAGATGTGGTTCTACGTATGGGGGCTACAGATGCAACAGATGCGGTTCTACGTACGCGGGCTACAGTTGCGGTTCTACGTACGAGGGCTAGAGGTGCGGTTCTACATGCTAGACTGCCAATATAAACTGGCCATCTGGGTAACGCACAAGTTTTAGATAAAAGAAGACTTGGAGAATTTAACATTTGCAGAAGATACCGGAAGCAGGAAGTGAAAAGAAATTAGGGAAACATACCTGATAATTTTTTGTAAATAAGAATTTTACGAGGTCAAATTTTAGGAAGTTGGAAAGAGCCATGATTACACACATCCTGTAAGAACAAGGTGCATAATAGAAAAGAAAAAAAAATCCACTTAGACACTTGTAATATCAATAGCTACATCAATTTAACATGTCCTCTGTTTCTTCCCAATCCGTAAAAACTTAATAGCAAAAGACTATAAATAATTCGTTTTGGTCAACATGGATACTTCTAAAACATGTTGTCAAAGTGTTTTTTTTTTTGTTTATCTAGAAAAAGAAAACATCGTTAAGTTTATTGGATTGTTTTTGTAAGTCTACAAAATTGAAACTTTATTTTTTTTTTCTATTCAAAGGATAAATCACTGTTTCTTTTTTCGTCTTTTCATCAATGTTAGTTATTGTATTTTCTATTTAGAGAAAAGCTTCGGTCGCCAATTCTGTGTGAAGGGTTATGTAAAACAAGTTTACTTTAAATAAATTCTTGACTAATTAAAACGCAAAACGGAACAACAAAATGTTTTTTTCTCACATCATCCCTCCATCTTCCTCCGCTGCCCTCTCTCCCCCTCCCCCTCTATCTCTCTCTTATTTGTGGAGTGCAGTAGAAAGGGGAAATATAGCTAGTACGATTGATCATTACTAGCGTTTAGTGAGTTCGATTTTCAATGGGCGTCTCTTAATTATATGACCTTGTGCCAAACTAAATCGAGTAAAATAACAAATCTCACATTTAGGTCATGTAAATAGTAGTAATAATGTCTGGTCAGTCGTATCCAAGGCCGGCTAGAGAATCTCTGTTGCAGATGCCTGCTCAGGCATATTTGTGTCTGTTTAACACTCAGACAGGCCACCTGCTGTTTATACTACAAATAAGCTGAACGAACCTTAGTTGCAGTTTCTAGGAGAGAGGACATTATGTAGCGTTATCAACAGTCTGAACCAGGCTCGAACGTGCAATCACTTGGTTAAGATGACTTGTAACTTCGTTCTAGCATAACCATCGACGGCTGTCCAAAGTATCCCATCTAACCAATTTTACTCACAAGGTTTAAAACAACCCGTGGTACGGTTTTCATACACTTTCCTAAGGTGCCACACGCTGGGATCGCCTTCCCTATAATCGATAATGTCAAAAAGTCACCTTTCTAACAAATTGACCATGGTGAGATTCAAACCCGAGTCTAAATGTCAGAAAGCGTTCTGACCACTCGGTTTAGGCCATATATTGAGGTTAAAACTTATCTTGATTCACTTTTCTGATTGATGAAGTTAAGTGTCCTGAAACATTCCAACTGTCCATGAGAGAATTTAGTTCAATGTTTTAAGTATTGGCCTGCTTATCATTCGTTAATTAAGACTTAATTATCATAACTAATTCTATTCAAACAAATGTATAAAGTATAAGAAAAGAAAAGAAAATTATTTAAAAAGCGGCATCATTAGTTGTAGGAGATATCTTGTAAAATAGAAATATTTTGCTTCTTGGAAATTGTATACACTTGTAAGGGTAGAGAGAGAGCTATAGAAGAAAGATTTATTCTACCATTTGTACTCACACTTTAGAGGCTTTATTATATCCCTTATATAATAACACCGTACTTTATGGATAGAGCAGGATGGCTGAGAGGAAAAGGAATGGGAAATATGCTTTGTTCTCACAGAGACCTTTATATTGCTAAAAGTACAGAATATATATATATATATATATATATATATATATATATATATATATATATATATATATATATATATATCCCACATGGAGAATAATATATCACATATATCTACACGGCAAGCCAGTGTATAAGGGAAAACAAAAAAAGAAGGGGCTTACATATAATATGGAGATATTCCTCTGACTGGAGAAGCCATGGTTAGCATTCCAGATTCAAATGGGCCAGATTCATCTATGTCCCAGACGAGGATATTTCCACGAACGGGGAACACCGAGTTAGAGGTTTTTTCCAAACTGAGTTCTTTAAGCAAGAGTTTCTTTTTATATCTACTGTGGAGGCAGAATTAACCTCTGCCTAGCCGTGGGGGCGGGTTAAATAAAGCAACATTTCGGTTTGCCTGCTGTAAACAAATGAATTTGTTTGCCATTTTTTTACTGTATGGAGTGACGTCACTATGCGAGAAGTCTCATAGGTCACGTCAGTGACTTATCGCCTCAAAAGTGAGATAATCGCCTACTGCATTCCTATATACTTTCTTTACAAGAAAGTAGTTGACAACTAATTTAAGTTAAATTTACTTAAATATTATTCATAAAAAAAAGTGTAACAACCTTCCTTTTTCAGTGACTGTGGCCCAACGGGAAGTTAAATCAACTCCACATTTAGAGAAATATTCTCGAAAAAGTAAAAGTCTGTGTTTGTTTTGTTTCTGAAATGTCCTGCTACTTACGAAAGAGACGAGTGATTGAAACAAATAAAAATCTGAAGGTTCTAAATGGGGTGACTATGGATGATGAAGAAGAAACTCAAATCCTAACGATGTTATTTTTTTCTTTGGTTGGTTTTACAGACTGTATCTGGCATTGTCAAGTTGGACAATAACACATTTTTCTGTTTACCAAGACAAGACAGTTTCTACGTCATGCTTCTTATATCTGATTACGGCGATGGCAATAAATGTCTGCAGAAATGGTCTTTTCATGTTTCAGTATTTCTTAATGATTGGAAAATTTCATATTCTAGCAGTAGCAAAGAAACGGAGTCCAGATTTTGGTGGTGGCACTCGTATTACACGTTGTGATAACAAATGCAATTTTGGTTTTCCCTTGAAATCTAAAAGCCATTATCTATCATCTCAAAAACCTGATTCCCAATTGGAACGTTGTCATTACTGATTAAAATACTGTTGCGTAGTTTGAAACGTTGTATAGGAATGGTGAAGAGGAATCGAAATTACCTCTCAAGTACTCTTGACGAAACTTTGAAATGAATTACACACGACAATCAGATAAATTCTAGATGAAGTTCCATATCATTCAGTTTTGTTTGGTTGACACAGATAGGTGAAAGGCATAGTTATTTTACGGACACAACTATATATATATATATATATATATATATATATATATATATATTAGTCACTAGATTTTATCAAAGCCTTTTCAATATGTGATCTCATTTCACTTAAATGACTCGTTCGTCTTTAGAGGATAATTCTTATTTCAGAAATGTAACAGTCTCTTCTTCTCAAACAGCTTCTTCTCCCGCACTTCCTGTCTGTGGAACTCCTTCCCCGTTACTTGCTTCCCCGATATTTATAATCTTCAAATATTCAAGTATAATGTCAATCGACATCTGACACCCTGAGCTTGTTCCCCATCCTTCTCTGTATCTTTTCCTTAAATACACCTCTTTACTCTTGTTCACAATCCTCTTTAACCCCTTGCGTGCTAGTGGCACTCCCGCCTCGCTTGGGTCGAATTGCCTTTAAAAAAAACTCTTAATACGGTTATAAAATGAATTCAGTAAATACACAAATATTGAAAGGATAATAAGACAAGGGTGTATCTTCTCACCGCTTTTAGTCAGCCATTGTAACAATTCTGAAAGAATTAGAATTACTAACATTATTCTTTATTGACAACCACAATTTTGACAACATAAGACGACAGATACAGAAAGGAAACTAAATAAACTACTGTAGAATGTAGTAAACGAAAATGAGAAGAAAGGGTTAAATCTTAGGAACAGTGTAAGATACGAACTATTAAATGGAGACACTAAGATGAAGTAAATGCGAAAATTCAAATACTCAGTAGTGTTTTATCACAGGGCGAAAAATATTACGTCAAAAATCAAATTGGATCAGCGAAAATGCCTTCCGAAAGTTTAGCAAAATATCAACACGAAAATACCAATTAAAATAAAGCAAAATCTTCTCCTATATGGTAGTGACAACATAAAGGAGGTATGAACTTGAAGCAAAGTAAACATACTTATACAGAATACCCCGACTGAGTAAGAACAAAACGTTTTTTTAAGAAAAATGGAACTAAAAAGGACACATAATTAGAATCAGAAAGATAGTCAAAATAACGAGGAAAGACGTGTTGGCGAATTTAACACTCAAAGGTCTAATTGAAGTCGACAGAGAGACAGAGTAAAACAAATTAAAACAGCACATAACCTACCGAATGTGCTTCTGCAAATGGTTGGTAAAACAGATTAGGAGGGATGGTAAAAAGACAAACCTTAATAAGAGCTACAAAGCACCTGAACATGTGAGAAGCTATTTATCACCTATGTCCTGAAGTGACACGCTTCATAGAAGAAGTTTTCAACACTGACTTTGGAAAAGCTTGCATCAATATCTCTATCGACTAGCAAAATAGAAAGTGTCAGAATTCTTAAGAATATGACCTTGAATAGCACAAAGAATCGGAAGAAATACATTTTAATAGAGTAACCATAAGCTTTGGTTAATGTTTGCTTACATTATAGTCGACAGACGTATCTACCAATCCGGGTAAATATCAGGGAATATCGAACTGAACATTCTTATTTAATCTACGGGTATACATTGTTCTCCTTCCTCTGTCTATGTCTAGGGTATCTTGTTTTGTTCATTTCTAGTGCTGCTCAGTTATTGCTCTCCTTGTTTCCACTGAGTCTGTCAGGGATTCTGCTTACAATTATTATGCAGACATTTTAATCCCCAAGACTATTGTTCCGTAGGGCAATCGGGTTCCAGTGGTATAAGAAAGTGCAAAAACCTCCTCTTCCGAAATTTATAGACATAACATACAGATGTATGATAGGATTTCTTCTTAACCAATAAAATGGACCACTTCTCAGTCTCATCCGACATATTTTCTTTCTTGTCTTGAA